AAAAAAAAAAAACTGTGATTTTTCACATTAAAAAAATGGACCAAAACACAATATATTGTACAATTCAACTCGATTTTTCACATTAAAAAAATGACCAAAACGCACTGTATTGCACAATTCAACTCGATTCTTTTTGTTTTACCTCGGTTTTACCCACATTTTAGTTCTAAATTTTATTAAATGTAAAGTTAAGAGTTAAGACATTGTTGACAATGATTTTTTAACAAAATGTTCCGAGGAATTTCCTTTGGTGTCGGCACACAGTACTTCTAAGTTGGTACTGACTCCTAAGTCCAATATATGTATTGGGCTTTCAACCACGCCAGTATATGTACTGTGAGCCGCACACTAAAAAGGCCAATAAGGTCCAGAATGATGGCGGCCCAAAAAGCCCATCTTCTTATTACTGATTTCAATCATTTTTCTTCCGATCTCAACGAGAGGAGAGAGAGTGGTAGAAAGTTTGGAACACGACGATGGTGACGTATTCGAGCTCGTGGTCGCAAGCTCTGGTTCAGATATCTCCTTACACCTTCTCCGCCATCGGAATCGCCATATCCATCGGCGTCTCTGTCCTCGGCGCCGCCTGGTATTTTCTCGTACCAATACTCAGCCAATCATTTTGCCGGTGTTCCCTTTTTCTTTCTCCTGATTTTGTGTTTGAGTGTCTGGAAATTGTTAGGGGAATATATATAACCGGGAGTAGTTTAATTGGCGCGGCTATCAAAGCTCCTCGCATTACTTCGAAAAATCTGATCAGGTACTTGTTGTATAATCAGCTGCTTTAGAATTTCAGTTACCATTGTAATTCCTCTCTGTATCTAGCGAGATGAGTTCAATTTATAGTTATTGTTTAGTCATTGTTTGTTTGTTTGTTTGTTTGCTTTGTTTTCCTAAAATATTATGCTTGCTGCCCGGAGTCGCATTTGTATGAGCAGTAGAGGTAGGTTTTGGGTTTGCAGGTATTATCAGATTGAATTTTATAATGTCTTGTTGAAGGGAAATTATTGATTATGTATAGTTCTTAAATTGCTGATCGCGCATAAAATTCTTCAGTAATTCTAAGATAATGTGCTTAGGGGTGGGGCAAACCAAATTTGAAAAATCAAAGATTGAATTTTGAAGTCTAATAAAGTCAGCTTTTAGGATGTACCTAGGGTAGAAATACGGCAACGATATTCTTCTTTCATACTTTCTTGTGCTCTTAGGTTAAGTCTTGTATAGCCCCGTGCTGCTTATCTATAAGCAAGTCATGCTTGTATGGTCTTTTGAGTAGTCAAATTTAGTTAGAGCTGCCACGTTACGTAGAATGATATAGTCAAATGAAAAGCTACAATTTACAACCTTACTGTAGGACTAGGATTTCAGTTAATGTTGCATGTTTTCGGCCATGACTTCGGACTTCTATGGTATAAGAAAGTTAGTTATGGTTAACATCATTTGTAGTTTCCTTCTTTCACTATTTGGATTGGAGAATTAATGGATAAAAGTGATGAGAGAAACAAGGAAATATTGTTCATCTCGTTGGATTGAGCAGAACTAATTATTAATCTTAAGTTGTCTTAGAGAGGAATAGCATCAGCAAAAAAATAGGTAAGCTTGATGTAATTAATGTAACTCATGCTTGATTAGAATCTTGGCCAACAGTCGCAGCATTGTCCTAGGTTGGTGTGTGCTTAAAGCTGATCATCTTTTAATTTGAGCAGTTGATGATTTTTGGTTATCAGTTTCATGGCTACTGCTCAAAGGTTAATTGCTTACTTGCAATGTTTGCCAAAAACGTGTTTTGTGATTTCTTTTATCTCCAAATTAGCGTGCTCTGTGTTGGGTTCTTTCAGATCACATCTGTATTCGTAACCTTCTCCATTAGTTTATTGTTTAATGCCGCATGCATTAGTGACCCTACATAGAGCTAGTGGCTTCTTCCCCAGTAATGTTGTAGGGTCCAGTAATGTTGTAGGGTCCAGTTGTTCAGGGAAGTGAGTGAACTCACATGTATCACTCTTAGGCTAGAAAGAAATGGAAGGATCTTTGAAGATAGGGGCGAAACTTTAGAGGAAATTTGGGTTAGATGATATTTTTGGGTTGGGATTTCTATTTATAAGGAGTTTAAGAATTTATTTTATTATGGATGATGCTGATGATTGAAGTTTCCCTATCCCTTTTTTTGTATTTCGTTTGTTATTATACTTAATAAAGTTGCCAGTTTCATCATATCCTATTTTGTATGCCGTAACTGAGTGTGTTTCGCCAATGTGATATTTCCAATTGACATCCTTTTAGTTTCAGGCAGATGATTAGTGAAACCTTTCTGGATTTTATCGTCTGTCTTAGAAATAATAGCTTTTCTTCGTGTACTAGTGAAATTTTACATGCAGCTGGTAGTAGTGGTTCGCAGTGACTTATCTCTGCTTAGTGCTTACCCTTTTCTCAGTGTGATATTCTGTGAGGCTGTTGCAATATATGGAGTCATTGTGGCCATCATTCTCCAGACGAAGCTGGAGAGTGTACCTTCGTCGAAAATGTACGACCCAGAGTCCCTCAGAGCTGGCTATGCCATATTTGCATCTGGAATAATTGTGGGGTTTGCCAACCTTGTCTGTGGGTGAGACTTAAGTTGCCAATTTTCTTCCATATAGTTTTATGAGTGGATCATTATTTAAACCCATATTTCATGTCCACTGATCTTCTT